GTAGCTAAAAAAGTTATTTCAAACAATACATAAAAGCTATTTCAAGAGTTGGGATTAGATTACATTAAAGGGACTTGGTAAATAAAGAAATTTGCAACCAAGGACTAACAAAATTAAGTGATAAGCAGAAGGTGCTTTTACCGAACAATGATGAAATTTCAACAAAATCATCAATCTCATAACTATAAGATGATTCAATTACAGAAAGAGATACAATGTGCCAAAAATTATAAAATAAAAAATTGAATTGTTACACTTTTTACTGAAATTAAGCTTTGAATGTGTTGCCAAAATTTAACTATCGTATACGTTGTAAATTATGAAAGAAGTATAAAAATGTAACAAAAACACTGGTCGCGCAACGCGCGACAACAAAAGCCTAGTACTTAATATAAAGGCACAGTAGGCAAGAAATTAAATGCCCAAAAAATATTCAGGGCCACCTTCAAATTGATCTCGTACGTCGGATGGTCTTGATATGACGTCAGCAACTTATTGGGGGCAAAAAGGAGAATGCATAAATTCAATTTCAAATTAATGAATGAGAAAAAATATGAATTTTTAGTAACCTTCAAATTGATCTCGTACGTCGGATGGTCTTGATATGATGTCAGCAGCTTATTGGGGGCAAAAAGGAGAATGCATAAATTCAATTTCAAATTAATGAATGAGAAAAAATCTGAATTTTTGATAAAAAAAATCCTCAATCTGAATTTTTAATAAAAAAAAACCCTAGATATCAAAACAACGTCATTTTATACCCTTATTTATTCCCAGTAGTGAAAACTGCGACGTTTTTGTATCAATGTTTTCTTTTTAAAAAGAAATTTTGTTGAATCCCCGAAACAAAATGACCACAAATTATACTTGCGCTTCATCTTTCTTTTTTTCCTTCTTGTTTTTTAACCTCTCCCTCTTTTTTAAGACCTCTATTTACGCTGATACCCCACCGTTTTTTGGGACCGAAGGATTATGTATAAAAATTTGTTACAGACACGAATTGAAACCGCAATTCCTCTGCCGTGACTAAAACACGAATTGAATTGCCGCCGCTAATCACCATAACCTCCGTGCAGAGTTGTTGAAGTTTATCGTCGGAATGTTTGTCGATTGAGTCCATAGATTTGATTTTGTAACCTTCACCGGTGAGACTTTTGGGGACGAAGAAAAGAGCAGTAACGAGAAGAGGAAGGGGTTTTAATCTTGATCGATCATAGATCGTGGTGCTAGACAAGATTTGAACATTATTCTATATACACTACTTTTTTTATTTTTTCTTTTTCTTTCTATTTGGGCTCTAATTCTATTGCTGCGAAGAGTCGCTCACCGAATTTTCCAGAGGGTTTTTTCCTCTTCGCTCGCCACTACCGTGGATTGTGCCACCAACTCACTCATCGAAAAAAAAAAAAAAAGTTCGGTCTTTCTGTACTATTGCTGCTGCTTCTTTTTCCTTGGAGTCTACTCCTAATCTTTTCTTCTTCTTTTTTTTGGTTGATTTTTGTTGGTGTTTACATTGCAGAACTTTCTAATAGGGTAGAAACCAGAATTGCATAATTTCCACTATTTGTTTCTGTTGAGAACTCTCCGCGCAAAAAGAGGACACCAAACCACAACAAATGCCAAGGACAATCAGAAGGACTATTTTGCTTGGGCTTTCCGTAGTTCCTGAATTTTTTTATTCTCCAAAAGGTTTGTTTTGGTGTAGTTCTCTTTTTATTATGATTTGTTTTGATTCTGCTTTTACCATTCAATAGGGAAATAGTTACTGCATCATGAAATCTTGAATGATATCTAATCTTGTCTATGCTCACTGAATTTCACTTGGTCCTAATCTTTTCTTATTTTTCTGGTTGCCTAATCTGTTGTTTTTTTTTCATGAATGTTCCAATTAAACTTCGTGGAGATGGTATCATCTTCGTCGTCTTCCTTGTAAGAATTTGATTATTTATTCAAGTTATTGTTGATTGGGGATTATGGAGTAGAAAAAAGTAGTCCTTTGCTCAGCTTTACTCCAGATATCTTCAAAGATCTCTCTCCTACCATAAGTAATACTGATTTTATTTTTCTCTTTCATATATTTTGTATTAAAACGAATTTGAAGTTTTGATCTCAATATTCACATATGGTTATGATTTTGGATGGAAAGGTAGGATTTTACGACAATGTTTGAGTTGCTAAATTCTATTTAATCCAGCAGAATTTCATATAATTGTGTTTGTTTTAGGTTGTTGTCGGTTAGTCATCGAATTGAACTCTTTCAAAATATGAAAAATTATAAGGAGAGTGAGAAATAGAGAGATATTGTTAGCAGAAATAACAGAATTGTGAAACCTGAGCCATGTTATAAGGACCTTTGCAAGATAGTTCCTTTTTAAAATTTCTTTTTTTGAATCCTATTGAATTGGCCGAATGTTTGTTCTTCTTTACCAATATTGGAGAAGTTGGAGACATATTGGGAGCACCGGAATTCTATGAATGTTCATTAATTAAATTTAATGGACAGGATTAATGAACATTAATGCACCAGAATTATTTCCTCCCTAAAAGAATCCCCAAAGTTACTACTGGACTCATTTAATTAATCCCTCTAAAAAAAATCTCCCTCCCAATCATTTAAATCAACAGACTACAATTCAAAAAAAAAAAAAAGAAAACCAATCACTCAACACTAATGTTATCTTTAAAATCTTCTCCCAAAAACATGACCCTGTATTTTTCGTCAATAAAAAAGAAAAAGAAAAGGTACAAAATTTGCCTTAAATTATTACTAAAAGGACGGGATTTAACTATAATTAAATGTTATCTTTTGAATTTCAAACCAATGCATTTATTTGTGTAATATCATATCTATCCAAATAAATATAATGTTTCCTTAATAACATCTCGAAAATTATTATAAAATTTATCTTTATCACTGAAATTTTGGATAATCAATTATCATCAATCCCTATTTATCTCTATTTATACATGCCACACAAACCATGAGTATGTTCAGTCTTTGCAAAAATTTCCCCGTCCCAAAACAACCTGAAATCCAAAGATGAAAGGGCAAAAATTTTAGCCCTACAGTTGGTTTGTTGTTCTAAAAGTGATGAACTAATAGTGGGTCGATCGTGTGGCATGAGAGGTAATGGTTAATTAAGGTTATATATGATTTTTTTTTCCGCATATTCTTCTGCAAAATGATGTTTTAGAGTTCTGTTTTAGACATTACTAAATTTATGTTTTTTTTACCCATAATTTCATTATTTTATTAATTATTATTTTCTATTTTCATAGCAAAGAGGGATTAAAAGGCAAAAATTTTAACTCTACAGTTGGTTTGTTGCTCTAAAATATTAAGTATTGGGCCAAACGGTACCATAGAATCTTTAATTACAACAAAATAACCATAAAAATTTTAAATTTCACACTTCAGCCACACATAATCTACCATCTACTATTGATAATTACGTCATTATGTATGTTACGCATACAATCATTTTATCTTTTCATTCAATATGTAACATTAATACAATCTTATTTATTTTACTCTGCTTATGAGTGTTATTCTCAGCTTCTTCTACTTCAATAAAAATCAAGTGAACACTTGCATTTCAAATGATATGCATTATTTTATCTTTACAATTACGCCTTTATTCAATTTTAGTTGTGTAATGTATCTTAGTATGGACTCCAAATACATTTTATACTTTTTTTTTCTTAGTTTTATAGTATTAGTTAACTAGATATTAAACCCGCACGATGTACGGAATTCATTTGTACACGTTTACACAAAATTATCCCTTTTACCCTATTAAAGCAGAAAACAGGATGCTGATGTGGCAATTTCTTATTAAAAGATTTTGGCTCAAACTGCACCATATTGCATAAACCATTCTGCCACGTGTCACCTCCTTTTAAAAACAAAAATATATTTACAATATTAACGAAGAGATCAGATGGCCATGTTCATTCAAATTTTGAATTTGACAGTGAATAGAACTTTCCTTCTCCACTTATTTAGGACTTTCTAAAAAATTAATTTTCGATCAATCAATTATTTTCATCAAAAACTAAATTCATTCCTAATCAGTTTTGATTATTTACATATTAATTTATTAGGTGGGAGGACGTCCCGGGCATTTGCCAATGCCCGGGACAAGCATCTAGTTTTTAATTAAATACCCTGTGCACAAATGAAGTTATTGATTTACTGTAATAAATAATATATTGAGTAAAAATAAAAAAATATGTTATCATGAATAAAAATATTGCCTATGCTATGAAATGATAGTTTTATATAAATTGAAAGTAAAAGTTTAAGAATGCAATAAAAAAAAATATTATACGTCTAAAAGTAAATGAGACCGCCATCATAATAAATAAAAATATTTCATGTCATGCAAAATAGAATATTTTGTGACTGCAAGGGAATAAAAGACAATAATATGATAATCATCCGCATAAAAAAATATTAACGAGGACTTTGAAGATTATAGTTCTGTAAATTTGTGTTAATAATTCTAGTTCCATAATTTTTTTCATAATTAGGTGTAATTAATTACAATTATATTTCTTCTTGGGTGATTCAAGTGTCATTTGGAGGACCTAAAGATAATTATATTAAGTACTCCTTGTCAGAATAAATGAAAAAATTACACCTAAGATTTTGTCCTAGGTGTCACCTTAAAAATCATTTTCATATTCTTTCCTCCGTTTCTCTATTTATATATAGTTATAGATAGATAGATTTTGCAAAGCAATATACTATATGAGAGAAATGCAAAGCTAGGCTTTTGTACTAATCTTATTCAACAAAGTGGATATTTTTCAAGACAAATGAAAATTATACCGGGGAAAAACTTAAAAGGAAAAAAAACAAAGAAAATAAAAAGGAAAAAGAAGGCCTCAATCCCATAAATAATAAATCATAAATAGTTCATTCATAGTATTATTCTCCCCAAAAGTCTCAAACCTTTTGTAATGTGATAAATAAACAAACAAAAACAAGAAACGAATCACTCATCTTCAGTTTCAGATTCAGCATTCTGAAGCCATTCAATGAAGGGTTTGGAGTTTTCCCAAATTGAGGAATCTTTGTTAGCCTCTGCTGCCAGACCTTCCTGGTACCACTTCAAAATGCACTCTTCCTCCAAGATATCTTCATCGTACAAGGCTTTCAGAACCAACGCAACTTCCTTCACGGCAGCTGAGTTGTTCAGCTTCAAAAAGAACTCCTCAATTGCATGAAGAAGTAGCAACTGTCCATTTTCATCCTGGGAAACAGCAACAGCAAAGTAATCCTTTTCTTCAGAACCTCTTTTCGGAAAACCTTCTTCACACCATCAAGAAGGGCCTCGAATAGAGCAGACATTACTTCCTGAGGGGAACCGGATACGGATGCTAACGCCGACTTCAGTTGGTCTGCAGAAGCAACTCCCTTCTTCAAAATCGCTTTTACATCCTGAAGAATCTTCTCAGGTGAAGTAGCTTTCTGGCGGCCTCCACGAGGTTTATTATTATCTGCTGCCTTTGACTTGCGATCTGTTCCCTCATCAGTTGTAAGCATAACCATATCAGCAGTTACTGTATTCAACTGTTCTTTGATAGTAAGTTTAGCAGCCTTCGATGATGTGTCTATTTGCCACTCAACATCATCATCGTCGTCTTCGTCATTCATACGGCCTCTAGATGATGAACCATGATCATCATCATTACTGGAGGGAACCATCTTCTTCTTTGAGTCTTTCTTCATTTTTTCTGCTCCAAATCTGCAGACTCCCTTCATTCAAACGCTCTTGTTCAGCTCTCCGGAATGATCCCTTTTCGGCCTTGGGCGGATTCTTCAGGATGAAGGTAGTGAGCTTATCCCTCATGTCCACATAAGAGATATTACCACAAGCCTTACATTGCAGCTGGACCATCTGACTCTTGGTAACGATGATATCCGTCTCCGGGTTCTTGCAATAGTAACACTGGACATACTTCTTGATGAACACTTCAAGAAGTCCAGCCAGTTTAGCAGTCTCATGAGATCCATTAACCTGTGAAGTTCCGGTTTTCTCGATGAATTTGGATATGGCTCCGAGCTGAGTACCGAAATACTTGGTCGGATACGACGGCGGCCTCGCCAGAGCCTTGGCGATGTCCACCATGTTGACAATGTTGGTCTTGATTCCGTTTCCGCGGCCCTCGATCTTGGTGATCATCTTGGGCATCTTGTATCGGTAAAAGTTATCGCTGTTGCCGGAATCGATGTTGAGCAAGTCCTTGTTTTTGTTTGGCGACTCCATATTTTCTTCTTCTTCTTAATGCTCAAAATCATAAAACGGTAGATCCAAACAGCCAAATCGTTCGATAAAACCTCTGTTTCTTTTTCCTAGGAAAGTATTCGCCAAGCAATCCAATTGAAATTGTATAGTAAAGCGCTTCTTGGAACATATAAAAAGTTTTTCGTTGACAACTTCAACTTTTTATGCCTGAAAAACCAGATCTAGAACAAATTACTCAGGTGAGCACAGATATTTAGATCTAGGTAAGGGTTCAACAGATTAAATTACGTTGGCAAAGAGACCAAATTACAGTTGAAAGCTGATGGAACCTGGAGGCGATTTCCGAATATCCTTGCGCTTCTGAGACTGAAATCGATCGAGAGAGATAGAGAACAATTATGTCGGCAAAGAGAGGACGTATACGGCCTCCGGCGATGTAAAAGCTAGGGTTTTATATCGAGAGTGCTAATTGTAAAGAAATAATAAAAGGAAAATTTACGAGAACAATAATCTGGATATGCGAAAGCTCCACATATTTAACCAGACCTTTTCCCAAGTGAAATCCGAATTGGAATGGGCTTCAACGTCAGATTTTAAAAAAGAAGAATATATATTTGCTTTTACTTATTTGATTTGGTTGATTGAAATATATTGAATGTTTTAGTATTCCTCTAAAAATAATTATTTCAAAAATTAAGCCTGAATGAATTAGGAAATTAAATTATTTGCAATAAATTTTCCTTTTAATTTAATCAAAAATTAAAGACAAAATCATTCTGAAAAAATTAAGGACAAATTTTGTTCCTTTTCTTTTTCTAACTTGAAAAACATGAAGGCAGATTTCTTATTTTTAATATTTTTGAGATGAAAACGATCTAATGGAGGATAAATTATTACTCCCTCTGTTCCATAACTATTGTCTAATTTTAAAATTTCACTTTTAATATAATTTAAACTAAAAATCAAAATCTAAACTGGACAATAATTTTTGGACGGAGGAAGTATTATATAACAATCGAATTTTTATCATGAGTTACATGTCTTGTGTACTAAATCAATGCATAATTTTTTCCTTATCAGGGCAACCATGGTGCAGTCGTCGTGTTGAATATTTCCTCTTATATTAAGATAGTGCATGTTTATTGATTATGCATCCTCCATTGCTTCAAATTATCCTTTCTTTTTTTGCAAGGCTGAAAGTTGGTGGCTTCTGGCATTTTACTACTAATAATATTCAGATCCTTGTTCCAACGATTGATGATTAGTGAACAAACCTTTTATCCTGTTGGTCACTGGCAACTCTTAATTTAGCAACAGCGATTGTCTTTGCTTTCCTACCGCCATACATTCACTTCATGAATCATGAATATCTTCTTATAGTAATCCCGAATTTCATTATTTCGTGGAAAAAGATAATAATCAATATATATATATATATATTGTATATGTGTGTATATATATATATATTGTATATGTCTGCGTGTGTGTGTATATATATATATATATACCCTATTAATTTAAAAGATTAAATGAGAAGAAGTGATGGAGGTCGCGTTCTCATGAATAGTTTTCCCTTCAAAAAAAAAACTATGTTGTTTTGGTTCAACATAAATCTCTATTATATTATTTAAACAAATACCAAAGAGAAAATGAAAGATACATCAAACCGTAATTAAAATTTTCATTGCCCTAAACATATCAAGTCAATATTACGCAGTTTTGATTTTGTTGAAAAGAAGGCCTCAAAATAAATAAATTAAAAATTAGCTTATATTAAAATAATTATTTGAGAGAAAAATTTTAAAAAGCATTATTTGTGCTTCTATATGACCTTTTTCACCACTAAACAAATTGCCACCATCGAAATGTTTAAATTGGGAAAAAAAATATTGAGAGTCCATAGAATTCCAAAATAAACTATTCCCTTATTTCAAATTCAGAGGCTCTAATATAATCTTATTCTAACATTTGTTAGAGAGAAAAATAAAATTTATGTGGCAGCGCACTAGGAAAAATTTAGCGCACGAGGAAAAATGTAGTAATAATAAATGGACTACTTGGATTGTATAATAATAATATTTAACTTTGGCAGGTGCCAAGAATGTAGAAAAAAAGGTGAAAAGGAAAATTGTGGATGAGCAATCTATAGTATTGTACTAAGAGAGAAACCAGAGAGAGAAAACAAAAAATAATTCTAAAAGTGCCACATAGGATAAAATCTTATGTGTCATTTTTCTAATGGTTGAGTCAAAAAATATTTACAACGATTATACTAATAGTCTTTCAAATTTTATGTAAATAAACTTTTATCAAATGGCATTTAAAACTATACTTTAAAATAAGAAAATAAAAATTAATTAAATTCAATGGACGAGATTAATGAACATTGATGCACCAGAATTATTCCCTCCCAAAAAGAATCCCCTAAGTTACTACTGGACTCATTCAATTAATCTCTCTAAAAAAAAATCTCCCTCCCAATCATGTAAATCAATAGACTACAACTAAAAAAAAAAAATACCAATCATTCAACATTAATGTTATCTTTAAAATCGTCTCCCAAAAACATGACCATGTATTTTTCGCCAATAAAAAAAAGGTACAAAATTTGCCTTTAATTATTATTAAAAGGATGGGATTTAACTATAATTAAATGTTACCTTTTGAATTTCAAACCAATGCATTTATTTGTGTAATATCATATCTACCCAAATAAATATAATCTTTCCTTAATAATATCTCAAAAATTGTTATAAACTTTATCTTTATCACTGAAATTTTGGATAATCAATTATCATCAATCCCAATTTATCTCTATTTATACATGCCACACAAGTCATGAGTATCTCGATTTACAAATTTTATGTAAATAAAGTATTATCAAATGGCGTTTAAAACTATAATTTAAAATAGAAATATAAAAATTAATTAAATTTAATGGACGGGATTAATGAACATTAATGCACCAGAATTATTTCCTCCCTAAAAGAATCCCCAAAGTTACTAATGGACTCATTTAATTAATCCCTCTAAAAAAAATCTCCCTCCCAATCATGTAAATCAATAGACAACAATTCAAAAAAAAAAAAAAATACCAATCATTCAACATTAATGTTATCTTTAAAATCTTCTCCCAAAAACATGACCCTGTATTTTTCGTCAATAAAAAAGAAAAAAAAAGGTACAAAATTTGCCTTAAATTATTACTAAAAGGACGGGATTTAACTATAATTAAATGTTATCTTTTGAATTTCAAACCAATGCATTTATTTGTGTAATATCATATCTATCCAAATAAATATAATGTTTCCTTAATAACATCTCGAAAATTATTATAAAATTTATCTTTATCACTGAAATTTTGGATAATCAATTATCATCAATCCCTATTTATCTCTATTTATACATGCCACACAAACCATGAGTATGTTCCAGTGCTGCAAAAATTTTCCCCTCCCCAAAACAACCTGAAATCCAAAGATGAAAGGGCAAAAACTTTTGCCCTACAGTTGGTTTGTTGTTCTAAAAGTGATGAACTAATAGTGGGTCGATCGTGTGGCATGAGAGGTAATGGTTAATTAAGGTTATATATGATTTCTTTTCCGCATATTCTTCTGCAAAATGATGTTTTAGAGTTTTGTTTTAGACATTACTAAATTTATGTTTTTTTTACCCATAATTTCATTATTTTATTAATTATTATTTTCTATTTTCATAGCAAAAAGGGATTAAAGGGCAAAAATTTTAACTCTACAGTTGGTTTGTTTCTCTAAAATATTAAGTATTGGGCCAAACGGTACCATAGAATCTTTAATTTACAACAAAATAACCATAAAAATTTTAAACTTTACACTTCAGTCACACATAATCTACCATCTACTATTGATAATTACGTCATTATGTATTTTACGCATACAATCATTTTATCTTTTCATTCAATATGTAACATTAATAAAATCTTATTTATTTTACTCTGCTTATGAGTGTTATTCTGCAGTTCTTCTACTTCAATAAAAATCAAGTGAACACTTGCATTTCAAATGATATGCATTATTTTATCTTTACAATTACGCCTTTATTCAATTTTAGTTGTGTAATGTATCTTAGTATGGACTCCAAATACATTTTATACTTTTTTTTTTGATTTTTTATGATGTATATAAATAAACCCCGCGCATCGCGCGGGTTTAATATCTAGTAGTTCCCTAAAACAAGAAGAGCAAAAGGATAGATCCATGCAAGTATTTTGTGGTCGATAATTATATAGAAAGTTTAGTTACAACAAGGCCTAATTAATAGAAGAAGAAGAAGAAGATTTTGGGGAAGATACTTCAGAGTATTTTGTGGCAGTGGTTGAAGGCCTACCATTTTTCTTCTCATGTCACAACTAAAAATTGATGTACAATAATTCATTCTAATATATATAAATAAATTAAATAGTCAACCCTCCAGAGCAGAAACATATGTCACTAAAGGCCTACCCACTTTAAAAGGGCCCTTTGATTCAGAGAAATATAGACCACGCACCCGGAAAAAAAAAAAAAACAAAATTTGCAGTTGTGTGCATGCCTATTTTAGACCCAAACTCGCAGCTTTCATTTGAACAAACATGCATTGGTTACAATTTTGTGAAGTTAAACATATTTTCAAACAGAGTCACAGAAATGTGTTGGGGAATTATTAGTACTTAAATGTTTGCCAACACACATTGAACTCTTGTAATATTGAAGATGTTAACTTCGAACATTCATTTGAGGCCTTTGAGTTTATCATGACTAATATTGTTCAACATGCATATTGGAATACGAGAAACATCTATGATGGCAGTGCTATAGAGGCTATTATCTTAGATATGATGTGACCATGTGCAAATAAGAAATTGATCTCACACAGTGACTGCTAACGTTTAGCAAGGGATTTAAGGAGCTTTGGGTTTCAACCAATTTAAATTCACTACATAAATGAAGCTCATTATCAAGAATACTGTTCAGGAGTTAAAATAAACAAAACCTATATTTCCA